TGACTTGTTTATAGTCGTCACTTTAGCTACGAAAGGCACTCGATATTCTAATTCCGCATCATATTCCAGGGACTTGCATCAGAAAATGCCGAGTTGAAGCATCAGTTAGATACTTTACGCAAACAAGTTGAAGATCAGACTATCATCAGTACTGCATTAGGTAATCAGAACCAATCCTTGAAGGAGGATTACGAATTTCTCAAGAAAACGCATGAAGGCGTAAGTTATTATTCATATTCGCTTAGTTGATTACAAATTCATGAAATGTTGCAGCTGTCAGCTGTCCTTCTATATTTCCTTCAACTTTTACTGCTAGAATCGACAGTAAATCTATCATAGTTTGTTTCATAACTTCACTGTCAATTTGAGTTTGATATCACTTATTTTGTAAATAGTTAGAAATGACAAGTTTAATTTAGCAACTGGAAGAGATTCATCGTAAGCGTCAGGTAGAAATGACGACAACTGCTCGCGAAATTGAACGCACTTACGAATCGCGTCTTCAAGAACAGCTTCAAGCCATGCGTGCTGAATTTGATGCTCGTCTCAATAAGAATCGTCGTGATATCGACGAAACTTATAAGGTTATTGGTTGACTTGTTTTTAATTTATTTGTTCATTGGTTCGTGCATATTATAACTATTTCACTTCAGTCACAAAAGGCTTTTGCTGGTAAATGGCTGAAAAAGAATGAATTTGGATCGTGACATGGAATATTATTGAGCTGTATTGTTTGAGTAAGGATTTGATAATTCAAGTGAATATTCAAATCAAAGTAAGTGTTTTAACAGAACAAAATGAATGAGGCAAACGAAGCACGTCAACAAGCAACCACGGCTCGTGAGGAATCAGCTCGACTTCGTCTGCGTATTCATGAACTCGAAAAGAACGTGGGTGCGCACGATAGCCGTGTCGATGCACTCAATAAGAAAATCTCTGATCTCGAAAATCAGGTAAGTGGTTTCTTATCTGGCATCTACCATTAATATTTTGTTATGATTTCATGCTTTCTCTGAACGAGGCTACATTGCAATTGACAAGGATTTCCATTGAAGTTGCTTAAATAACATTGCATCAAATGTTTTCGTTTAATAGAAACTGATGGATGCTTTTAGTTGGGATATCTGATTGCTTCAATTCGTCAAGTCGCACTGAAAGTGTGATCACGATGAATAATTTCAGGACATTGAAACACACAAAGTTTCAGCTTGAAGTGTCTAGGATTAATTCACGTCTATATCAGTGTTCCCAATTTGCAGCTTCGTTTCGTTCGTGACGATGCAGATGTGCGTATTCAACAACGCGACAATCGTATCGGTGAGCTTCAACAAGAGATCGATCGCATCTTAAGTGAATATCAAGACCTATTCGAGCTGAAAGTGCAACTCGATACTGAGCTCAGAGCTTATCAAAGTCTTCTGGAGGGTGAAGAATCACGGTATCAACGCTTTTGCTTTTATCAGCTTGATTTATTTCCACCTCTAAACCATTCGATCGACTGGAACACAACAAATATTCAATATTAATCAGACTTCTAATTGCTTTTTTTTAAACAAAGGCGTAGTCGTTTAAAGTTTCTATTTACTTTTTTCTAAATACTGCTATGAATCAATCAGTAAAATCTTGTCATGATTTCATCGAATTTCTAGTTATTATTGCGTCACATTCTCTTGCTTCGGAGTATTTTCCAGTGAGTTGTTGTTGCATAGATTGCATCACAGAAATTGTGATCTCGACCATTTTAGTCTAATTGTGGGGCAATTTATAGACTTGAATATGACGTGTAGCAACAATTTGAGTTCTCGTTGATCAAAACTTTCATTGGTAGTATCTTTTTATTATTTGTTGTATTCGCTGAGTATAGGGGGCAAGCCTGAGTTCTGCTTGGGTGGTCTTGAATACAGTAATTGGATGAAGTGTAATTTCAGTTTGAATATCTCACAGCAATCATCTGTGTCGAGTGGTGGATTGGGTGGTGGAGGTGATGCAGCAGCGAGTTTGGCAACATACTCGTCATCTTCGCAGGTCGGTGCATCATCATCTCCTCGTCGGGGTGGCGTGAAGAGAAGACGCTTCATCGCTTCTGATAATAGTTCAATCTTCCGCAATACCGCGAAAACATACAAGGTTTTGTTCTTTTCGCTCATCGTACTCAGTTTTTACTTCATTTTCATCAAACCTCTTATATCACCGTTACGCATTGTTACACCTTTCAAATCTCAAAATACGAAACTTGGTATGAACCTAGATGGTTGGTAGAAAAATAATTTGTCTGAACGTTTGATTCGCACAATCGGCTCTGGTTTGGTTTGTGTCTGTTTGACATACGTGATCGACGATAGCACATAGATTCGGATTCGGATTGTGCGTTATTTTAAATTGAATGTGGATTTTATGTGACTAATGTTTATGCTGCAGTGGTGACTTATCTGTCAACTGTTTCATTGCAGACAACAGCAAACTCGGAATGTGATGTTGAAATTGATGCACACGATACAAATGGTAAATACGTGCGTTTGATCAATAAGAGTGATGAATCGATATCGATTGGACAGTGGTCCATTAAGAGTGTTGCAAGTGAACGTGAGACCGTTTACAAATTCCACTCTCGTCAGCTTATCAAACCTGGTGATACCATTACGGTAGGTTACTTGTTATTAATATGCAAATGGTGTGCAGTACATTCGGCATGACGCTTTTACGTGTGCTTGTTAAATTGAATGTTTGATTTATTAAGTAATGGCTGGACTGGCTAGGGTCCGGCTAACTGTTAACGATAGTCTTTTAGTAGTTTCATAACTCAATTCGTTACCGATTTGCGCGTAAGAAGGTATATGAGTAGCATCTGTATGTAGTTGTTAGTATTATATATTGTGAAGAATCAGGTTATGAAGAACATTCTCAATTCAAGGTTTGGAGCGCGGATAGCGGAGAGAAGTCATCACCTCCTTCGCAGCTGGTTATGAAGAATCAGCAGTGGCCTGCAGGCGATCACGTGAAGACGGTTCTTGTCGATTCCGAAGGTGCTGAGATGGCTATGCGAGAGAGTATTGCTGAATTGCAGATTGGTGGTGCGTTTGGACAGACTGATGAACAGGACCCTGATCAACGTTGTTCGCTTATGTAAGCTGTAAGCAGCAGCCAGGTCTAAGTACTCGGGCTCAATTGATTATCGATCCTCTCCTTCTGACACCTATGTCGTTTAAATTTGTCTTCTACTCGTTCACCACCTACACTTATAATACTTCATTTATCGTTGCATTCATCTCTTAATCTTACACATCAATTATTCCCCTTTTTTATTTGTTCCATATTTATACACTCACTCAGATGTTGTATCCATGATCCATTTTACTTCTTATTCATATGTTCCATTAGAAGGCCTGGCTTTTTGTGTATTTTATCAGATCCATTCACCACTCGGTTTTTTGTCACGAATTACCATTTTCATTAATAGCATTTGATTTGACGAAGTTGTCATCTCAGACCATTGGTCCTCTTCAACTCACTTCCATCAAAAGGATTTATCGCACTGTTTCGTACTTCGTTGAGAGAACGAAAATACTGATTGTGATATGGAAATGAAATTCATGCTTTGAGGTATGACTAAGTTGGTACTATAATAGGAAGTAGAAAAGTTTTTCGGAGTAGTTGGTGTTTGGTATCATCATATATGGAACATTTGTATTGATGTGGTATTGTGAGCTTGCCTCATTATGGCTCATCCATGCAGTGATGATCTCTTGGAGCACTGCAAGAATGTTATCTTGGAGCCTGTTGATTCACTGCCCTGAATTTTGAAATTTGAATCAGCCCCTTCTCATATTAATATCGTCGGCGCTTGGTTTCGTTAATTGTTTTGATGTCGTTAATTGTATCGACGTGTTCGGTGGGCCGCTTCTCGCGGTCATCTTGTTTCCCATCATTTATTCATTTCGTTTTCATCATCTCCTATTGGCCACTTATTGGTCATTTGTTAAACGTCATATAATCAATCCATGTTCATTGTTGTATTTGTTCTAACTTGATGACGGCGCAAGGAGATTGGCTGGTCAAGTGCTTAGAAGTTGCATTTGACGGTAATTGTGTTCAAATTCAAACGAACCATTACAGAATTATCATCATCAAAGCACTGATTCACTGAATCGTTTTATATCATTAAGTGGTTTCTTTTTTCGTCGGTATCTCAATAAAGTCTCTTATGTCTGATTCTTCTTATTATCAAATCTGGATTGCTTTTTAAATTTTGGTGCTGAATTTACTTTTTTTGCTGGAATCTATAAGATCCTACCTGTCGAAAAGGATGCGTTTTCGAGTGGTAGGATTTTATAAAAAACCCGCGCGAGATTTCGGTTCAAAAATTTTGTATGAGGGTGTATGACGATTGATTCGAGGGGTTTTGAAGTTAATCAAGCTAGAAAAACTGATCAAATTTTTCGTCAAAGGTCCAACTACATGTAGATACATATACAATTATATATCGGTTGAAATGTATAGGTGCAGTAGTAGCTATAGTACGACTGAGAATAATTGAAAGCTCAACAAGATCATAACGAAAAAGGCAACTCTGGCTTTATTATTCACATAAATTGAAATGAACAAATAGCAGACTGTAATCATGATTCGTTGTGTTGTTCAACATTTTTTCAACAAATACAACAATAAAAAATTCGTTTATTGCTTAAAAAAACAGATCAATGCAAAAAACGATTATTGTTAGCTGATATTTGCTGGAATCGCCTTTCGACAAATATTACGGATGATTGTTAAAAGTGTAAAACTTGCTCTTAAAAACTCAGGGAGCGCTTTTTCAAATAAAATGCTTAAACGCGCAGTATAGATGGCGCAATCTTTCAACGCAATATTTTTCTAGGCGGTTTCAATGCAAAAAGCACCATTTTGAAATGTGAAATCACAAAAACTTCGGTATCCAGGAAACCCCGGACGAAAAAATATTGCCCTGTCAGGGAGCAAAGGGGTACGGAAACCAATTGGTCGGGGAAGGGGGGAGGGCATACTGTCGAGGAGTAAGTTCATGTGACTGAGCTTGACCTTGACTGAGCTGATTTGACTTAGATAAGATTGACTTG